TTTATCATGTTGAAGGCTACCATTTTACTCAGAGGCAAAGCTGCTGTTCTTTATATACTTGTGGTACCCCAGGACAAAGGTACTCGATCTGTCCCTTGCAACTTCTATTTTGCATATTTCTCTGCACATTTATCTGATCTGTGCTTTCATTGCAGGGGACTACCTACATTTATGGAACTTTCTTTAAACCATACATTTCACAGCATGAGAATGAAATTGACCGTAATTTGCTTGAGTTGAGAGCTCGGGCCAGCGATGTTGTTGTCGTTTATGTCCAGAAGGTTGCTGCTGTTGGACAGAATACCTTCTTTGATGTTTTGAAGTATGTTGCGTCACAGTCACCATCCCAGAAATCAAAGCAACAACGTCCTCAGGTGCGAATCATGTGTACTGTATTATGGTCCTTTCAGTCAAAGCTATTGAACCAATTGATGTATTTTCACCCTGGCGATGTTAATGCACCATTTAATCTCCTTTATGATTCGCTAGGTCTTTCTCCTTTTCTCTTTGCACACTGCATGATAAACGATGCAGTTCTGCATGTTATATGGTGGCCTCTAAAATTTCCAGCTAACATTTGTGATGTATGTCATCTCTGTCCCGTGATAATAATCCGATGGCTCGAGTGATCGGCACCCCTGTAATGTATTGCAGTTTAGGAACACTTAATATGAGTCTCTTTTGGATCAGGACAACTATGTAAAAATCTTGTCTCTTTTGGATTAGCATCGTTGAGTCTAAACAATTGCTGTGATCTAAATACGTGCTGCAGAAAGCTACATGAGTAGCTATGCTGAGTTGCTGATTACAATGCGCATGGCTAAGTCAGCAGAACTTTGTATATGTTGCTAGCATCTGTACTATGAATGCATACTGAACTACGCATATGCATTTGACATATGAAAAACCTATCATATGCTGTGATAGCATATGAGCTCTTCTTGAGCCATAGGATAAATTTCTGAAGCCTCTCTTTAAGATGCTTTTTTTGTGAGTTCTATCATTATTTCATTTGGATCCTGAAGTGTTGTGTAATTTTGTTATCGCGATCTAGGAAAGGACCAGGAGAATCACAAGTGGCAGTATTTTACTTTAACAATATAAAAACTGTACCTTGGCTTGTACTGAACACCTGATATATAAGTAACTGTGCATTATCACTTACCAGTTATTGAATTCTTCTTGTCATGTATTTTCACTTTTTTCCTCGGGAATATATTCAGTTGTAAACTAGGTAGGATTTTACATAATGCAAACTGTCCGTGGTAAGACGCCAGCATTTTATCCTCCTGTGTATTCAAAAGATTCACAATTTCACATCTACCGTCTGGTGGCACTTGCCTGAAACATGATTACATCTTAAGATTCATTTGGAACTGCTATAAAACATGATTACATCTGTCACTTTGTTTGACAAATATATATTGTTCTCTAGCATTTCATCTCATATGTCCTGTAACAAAGAAACATGCCCGTTTGCAAATTGATTAAAAACTGAAACGGGTAGCTAAATACCCTGATATCTAGAAGTGGCCCATTCAAATCATTATATACTGTAATATGAAACGGAACCTTAGTAAGCGCTGAAGTAGTAACTCAATCCTCTATTTTAAATATAAGTTCATTTACTAATGTTAAACTCAGAAAGTCGCACCATCTGGAGTTCTGGACTTTCCTTCCACATGTTGTACAATCTAATGCATAAGAAATGAAGGTTTCTACAATATGGCCGAAGATTGGTTTTAAATAAACTTGGGCTGAATTTAGAAAAAAAATTGTGCGTCTTGGGGGGCTTGTTTGTCCCAGACTGGTTGCATTAACTAATTCTCAAGAGTCAACATGTTATCCATCTGTTCTTTCTATTAAAGTCTCAAATGCAGTTATATATTGAAATCATGTTTTCATTTCCTTCAGGAACCACAGCAGTCACAACCACAACCACAGGTACAGCAGCAGCAACCACAAAGGCAAGCGCAGCCTGTTATGCACAGAGCTGCATCTATTGCTGCACGGCAAGCAGCAATGGCACAGCAAGCTCAAGAGACCAAGCCCATTTCCCCCAAGTTCAAGCGTCAAGCATCAGCAAAAGGTGGTCCAGCGGCATCCACGAAACCCGCCGCGGCTGCTGCGCCCACAACAAAACCCGATGAGAAGACAAAGAAAAGTGAGGCGAAGCCTGCCGCGGAGCTAGTGCCGGCTCCAGCCGCTGAAGCCGTTGTGCCAAGGCCCGAGCCTAAGGCCCAGCCTGCCCCTGAAGCCGAAGTATCGGACGACATGGCGATCGACGAGGCCAACGTTGCTGTGGAGGGCGCAGAAGAGGTTGACCCTGCACTAGAGGAGGAGACGGTCATGGAGGAGACCATCCGCGTGACACGTGCCAAGCTAAGGAGGCGTGCCGCCGCCGAGGGCCCCGCATGAAACTTAGCTGCAAGCCATTGTTTTATTGGCGCATGGTGTTGTTGCTCCTGTTTTTTGAGTTTTATTAGGTTGTCATGTTGTTTGGTGGAGAGAATATCTGTTGGTCGTCCAATTGGTCCTTCTGTTTCAGAGTTATTATCACCCGTTCCTTTCTTCTTTCCTGTGGCTCTCGCTGGCCTGTTTATGTGCCTGGAAGTTGTAAATATCACCGGGCATGTGTATATACAGATTGTTGGCATGTGCTACGACCTACGAATGCATCTAGCTTGATTCTGGTCATGCCTCGTGTCTGTCTAGAGTCTGCAATCGGCTACTGCATAATCAACATTCTTCTTGTTTCTTACTTACAACATTAGAACTTCTTGTTGGAAAAGGATGTTGTGCATGTTCTTGGAACTTGTTGGAAATGGCTACTCAAAAAGGATATAGTGTAGTTGATTGTGCTGTACACATGTCAAGAAAATAGGTATGCCCAAAGTTGATAGGCCGGTGGCTTGGCCTAGTGCTAGAGAACAACCATGACAAAAGCAGCAGGTAGCTAAGCACCAGAAGTAAAGTTTAGTGTTAGCCAACAGCAGCACTTGTGGAAGCTTTTGCGGCAAGCGAAACGAACAATGGAGTCCGCCTGTATGCTTCACAATGCTGACACGTGTGTCGGTGTGTGAATGATTGGTAGAAAAAAACTGAAAGCAGAGAAGGGGAGAGCTTTAGCAACACACTTGGATGTCTTTTCTGAATCCATGAAAGCACAGATGATGCCTACTACCCTAGTGATTGATCGTTGATATAACATTGATCAGATACACTGATCTTTGTTTCTTCTTCTTTTTTTGCGGGGGAGTTCCATTGATGTTTCGCGAAGACATGGAACTCATATAAACAGCAAAACTTGCTGCGTGTAATCCATTCAAAGTTGAACTAAAACCACGACACCGAAACAGAGGGACTACCTAGGGAGGTTGGTTGCTTTAACAAGGAAACGTTGTTCTGTAATGCTACCTTCGGTCCATAAAAGATGTCGCGGCTAGTTCAAAACTGCGATGCTTATTTTGAATCAGAGGGAGTACTTAAAAACTTGTGCACCTAGAGGCTAGGTGAGTAAAAGGCCAGTAGTATCTTCTTGGCCGTTGCTTAGAAGCTACTGTAAATGATCTCGAGCAGATGTCGATTGCTAAAGCAGGGGAAATGCCAAGAGAGGTCGACACGTTCTTTTTCCTTCTCCTAGTCCTAGCTAGCTCGATCCTTTGTCAAAGACTTCGTTATCCCGCCCAAGGAAAACTCCATTCTTTTGCAGCTGCGCACAGCCAAGCCACAGGTCGACACCGACGGCTGGCCGGCCGGTCGTCGTCGCTTTTGGCCATCATGCCCGGCCACGACGATGGAGACCTGCACCGACCATGACAGATGCCTTCTCCCACCGGAGAAGGAGCCACATCCAAACAAAAAGCTCTCCCCATCGATCCTTTCTTTCTATCTATCTATCTAGCTCGGAATAATAAACAAGCAAAAAGCCCGACCCTTTCACATGAAAATACTACTTCCTTACATATAAGATGTTTTGAATATTTTAATATGAAGTACATACGGATCGAATCAAGTGAACAAACACACTAAAATAAGTTTATATACACTCAAATTCACAAAAAACTTAGAACATGTTATATTTATGAGCGGAGGACCGATTCAAAACATTTGTATCTAGATAAATTTAAGACAAGTATGTTAGTATTGATCTCTCCATCAATGGGCCCAAAGGCCCATTGTACCGTTGACTCGCTCCCTGATCGAGGGAGCCCAACCCAACTGGGTTGTGGGCCCCTGTCGCGCCGGCTATAAAAGGGAGGTGGGGGCCACTAGGGCACGCACGCCAAAATAGAACAGCCGCCCACCTCCATAACCTGACCGATGGAGGAAAGCCGGAGAGCGATGGGAAGCTCCACAACACCACAGCCACTGCCCACACATCCCCGTCGCCACCATCGCCCTCTCCACGATGGCCTCCGGCTCGAGTTCATCAACCGCTGGAGAAGGTAGGTTTACCGGATTACTAGCCTACTCCGATCCAATGGATCTAACAAAGTACTCCCTCAGTAAAGAAATATAAAAATGTAGCCGCTCTTATATTCTTTTATGGAGGATAACAATATTAATCATACGGAGATCGAGAATGCGTGCGCGACAGCCCATGGGAATATATATACCCCGGCGAATTCCAACCATGCAGTGCGCTGCGCCGCGTGCGTCGTCGTCGCCGCCGCGATCCCACGGTGCCGTCGCACGAGCGCGCGAGATTACGTTCGGGAAGCACAAACAAATCCGTCCGGGGGAGAACAAGTGGCTGCCGCGCGTACGTGTCCGGCGCACGCGCGTTATCCAGCCGCCGACAGCGCCAAACATTTCCCCGGCCGGCCGCTTTTATTCCCTCCCGCGTCCCTCTCCCGCGCGCAGAAGCAGCAGAACCAAACGCCAAGACGCAAAGCGACCGGGAGCTTCCCGATCCTCCTGTCCTGTAGCCGCGCGTGGGAAAGGGGGGCTGCAACTTTTCCTCGGTGCGGCGGTCAGTCCATCCATATATATAGCAAATGGAGAGGAGCTGGTTCGGGTGGAGGAAGGCGAAGCAGGGCGGAGGTGGCGGTGCCGGCGGCGGCGGCGGGGAGAAGGAGGAGGATCAGGCCAAGGTGGTGGTGGACGGGTCCGGGATACGGGAGCTGGTGGAGGACAGGGAGGCGTTCGGCATGTTCGCGGAGAGCAAGTTCCGGCAGCTCGACGCCGACGGGGACGGCAGGCTGTCCGTGCGGGAGCTGCAGCCCGCCGTGGCCGACATCGGCGCGTCGCTCGGCCTGCCCGCGCAGGGCTCCTCGCCCAACGCCGACCACATCTACTCCGAGGTACGTACGTACTAAGTGATGCGCTATGGCTACTGCACCAGGCAGATAGCTAGTCTTTGCTGGCAGCCATGATCTCATAGCTTAAGGGGCCATGATCCCAGAGCAAGCATACGAGTTTCTGCTTGGTGGTGTGTGCTCAGTTCGGCGCTTGGCACATGAAACTCCACAGCAAGGTTTCTGTCCGAAACTTACACCTGCATGCACTCACGCCCAGCCCCGGCAGAATTCAGATTTTGGCTGAATTTCAGCGAAATTCGAACCGCTATTTCTGTCCTTTGTCTAACTGAAAGGAAAATGCATGTGTTGCATGAATTCTTTTTATTTGCCACTTTACAGTAAGTGTACTACGATGTGTTGAACTCTTTATAATATGTTGTTCAAAATAACTGCAGAAACAGAAAAGTTTTGTCAGACAAACAAGAAATAGTGAAAAACTGGTTAAAATAGCGGGATTACTGCAATCCACCTCAATGTAAAACACAACCTCAGTTCGTGGCAGGTGTGTGTGGGTGTATATTTTGCTTTTTGCTCGAAAGATGTAATAGCTCTTCGGTATTTTTACCCTTTTCTTTTAAGCATGCAATGTGCTTTCGTTAATTTAACTAGCTAGATCTAAAAAAATTAACCTTTTTTTGTGTGTAGTGATCTAAACGCTCTTATATTTGTTTAATTACAGAGGGAGTAAGGGCATGTACAATGGTTGATAAAACGGTCTTATCTTAAATCTTGCATGTAATTTAGAGATGACAAAAAAACATGTCTACAATGGATCATCTCTTAGCCTTATCTTCAATAACTAGTTATTCCTAAAAATATGGTGAGACATATTGTGCTAAGAGATCATCTCTTGCCTTCTCTTAATTAAGAGAAGACAAGCCTTCTCTTATGATTTCTTTCTCCTCCACCTCATCATTTATCCTACGTGGCATTGCTAAGATAGAACCATTGTACATGCCCTAACAAGTTAAGGTCCCATTTCCAATATGCTTCCCTACAAATAATTGCATTAATTCTTGCAATGATATTTATGAGACACATCACATGCACGAGTTCTCGCAATAATATTTATCACATGTAGTGACTTCAGTCGGATACCCTGAAAAGACGACAGCAACGTTCTATGGGCCATACAGAGACACAGGATATCGAACAAGAGGATAGAAAAGTTATGGTTGCTGGCTGGTATACTTAGCAGACGATGATCCTACGTTTGAAGTCGAAATCCTTTTCGCTATCCAATCGCCTACACTAAAAGCTTTAGCCGGTGAAGATTTTTTGAATTCAATGCGGGATGCGGGTTTGCGCACAAGTCCGTGTCGAGATGCCCTGAACCCGAGTTCAGGCACGCCATTGGTGGTTTGGGGGCAGAACCTAAAACATCAACATCAGAGCCTTTATCAGTTTTTCTCATCCTCGTCACCTCGACCATTTACTACAGATCCCGTCAATCTCTTCTTAAATTGGTAAGATTAATTAGTCCAGCAGGTTCAGACAAAACATTTCTGCCGCTGAAAGACCATTTTCTGCCTGAATTCACATGATCTCAGTTAGCTGCCAGGTCCAACTTCAGACAGGATAGACACTTGGACATGAACATGGAAGGAGACTGCCCTGACTTTGAGTTTCTTAAACTATTTTTTCTCTCTAAAGATGTATGCTAAACATAAAATTCCTTTTTCTGTAAGACAGATATACGATGAACTCCCATAATCTAAGTCGCCAAGTTCAAATTCAGAGAGGATCCTCAATAGAGACCGCACCGATTATTTTTTTTTTCTAATAGAAGTCCATACTGGCTTATTTTGTTTGCTCTGTTCACACTCTAAATTGCATGGATATCTTCTGCTGTACATATAAGTACATTTCTGTTTTCTTACACGTATCGCAAACCTGATTGATGTACAGGCTATGAGTGAGTTCACTCATGGTCACGGGAACCAAGAGGGTGTAAGCAGGGCAGAGTTCCAGGAGGTACTGTCCGACATTCTCCTCGGCATGGCGGCCGGGCTCAAGAAGGACCCGATCGTGATACTGCGCATCGACGGCGAGGACCTCAGGGACTTCGTGTCCAGCCCAAGGTATGAGCCGGCAGTCGCTGCCATCTTCTCACAGGTTGTGTCTGGAGACCTCTCTCTCCGGCAATGCCTGCTAGCTGCTGTCCAGCAGCTCGGCGTCGACCACGGCATGCCCCCGGCTGCTGACCCTTGGGTAAGTGAACGAATGAACACTCCTTAGTCCTAGCCATTGTTCTTGTCGGATGTGTGAACATAGATATGTAAGGTTTGTACGACACTGGCAGGTGGTAGAGAACGTGGTAGAGCCGGCATTGCAGCAGCTCTCCGCCGATGAGCTCGAGCAACCGTCGTCCCGGGACGTCTTCTTTGAGCAGCTGAAGAAGCTCCTGGGCAGCGTGGCGGATCAGCTTCAGGAGCGGCACGTGATCGTTGCGCACACCGAGAACACCTTCGACGGGAGCGGCGTCAGGAGGCTGCTGGGAAACAAGTTCGAGCTGGACAAGGTACACGATCAAATCCAGAGAGTGACCACGAGACCGTGGTGTTATCGGCAACACTGATGATCTATGATGGTGTAGCTGCTGGATTCTGTGTGGAGGGACGTGCCGGCAGAGCACAGGAAGAAGGCGCCCAAGGGCAAGGAGCACCTGCGAGTCGCACTCGATAAGATGGCCGATGCAGCAAGCTTACCACCTCATGGCGCTGTTGCTCAGGTACTGACACTAGTTTTGTTTCAGCCGGCACAAACAAGACCATGATGTTTACTGGAGAATGAACATCGTTTTGATCGACGATCCTGAAACGTGGCGCAGGTGGACGCCGTGGTGGACGAGGCGCTCAAGGTGGCGGACGCCGGCGACGGGAAGGCGGTTGAAGAAGCCGAGTTCAAGAAGCTGCTGACGGAGGTCCTTGGAGCTGTGATGCTGCGGCTGAGCGGCCAACCAATCTTCTTCTCCACCAGCACCGTCGTCCACGAGCCGCTATCCACTTCGGCCACCCTGTTGCCCTCGCCGGCGGCGGCATCGCCGCCGAGTGAGTAGCAATACGAGCACACGAAAGGTAAATAGCATGGGATGGGCATAAGGCCTCCTCCGTAAGCTGTGCCTGTGGTTGTGCTTTTTATCTGATCACGAGCATTCATGCTTTGCTATGGTTGGTTGGAACCTGACGGAATGCAGCGTTGCAGTTCGTCAAATACTCCAGCAGTATGTATATTGACCCTGCTTGATGTATAAGTTTGGAATAAGGCTTCCAAGCCAGAAAGACACATTGTCAATGGGAAATGTTACTGCGTGCGAATGCATTGGTTTGACAAGATGCTATATTACTACGTGCGAGAGCATCCATCTGTTTTTTTTAAACGGAGGCAAAAGATTTGCCTCATATATTAAATGAGGAGGAGAAAGAGTTTGTTACAACACAGTGCCAAGAAACGGCATGGCAATTACTCTCGCAATAAGAAAGACCCTAAATTTTTCGCCTCGGCTTTAACCCAAAGGTTGGACTCTTCGATCACATTGTTTAGCAAGACATGCGGAGGGGCACACTTATGTCTAAACACCCTTGCATTACGCTCATTCCAGATCACCCATGAAACCAACATGGTTATCGAAGCCTTCACTTTTCGGTTGGCGGTGCCCTCGGCGCTCAAACTCGCCCACCATTCCTTGATGGAGTCGTACAAGTGCCATGCGGACGTGTCCACGTCGTGGATGCAGAGCTTCTGAATCACCATGTTCCAGAGCCTGAGGGTGAAGCGGCATCTGAAGAATAGATGGGGACCGCACTCCTGCACCCCTCTGCACAAGGGACAAGGGCCACAGTTTGGCCAGCCTCGCCTCTGCAATATGTCTGCAGTCCAGATCCTATCTTGAAGCGCGAGCCAAGCGAAGAACTTGACTTTCGGAGGGGTCCAAACCTTCCAAACCATTTGGTCCATGGGGGAGAGGACCAAGCCCAAAAACTGCGCCCTGTACGCGGAGGCCGCGGAGTAGTTCCCGGAAGCCGTGTGCTTCCAAAGGATGTCATCGCCGGCAAGCTCATCAAGGTGGACCTCTTGGAGCAGCGTCCATAGGGTGAAGAGTTGTGAAACATGCTCAATGGAGGCCGGTGTAGGTGGCCTGATTTTGAGAATCCACGCGCTCTCCTTGAGGGCCTCCCGCACCTTCCAGCGCTTCCGCGAGGAAGCCTCATAAATGAGCGGAGCGATGTCTCTGGGCTTGCGACCCAGAAGCCAAGGAGAGTCCCAAAGAGGTGTCCGCGCACCATTGCCAACCGTGATGGTGGTACATGCGTAGAAAAAATTTAGGTCATCCGCATCACACGGGTTCCCACCTCCAACCCACAGCTTTGTGGGCTCCTTCCACTCATACCAAGGCCATCGCAGACGCAAGGCCCGCGCGAACTTGAAGGTGTTTAGGACCCCAAGCCCACCATAGTCAAACGGCCTACTGACAGTGTCCCAATTGACCTTGCACTTTGCCCCAGTTATCTTATCCGATCCCGACTAAAGGAATGCCCGCTCGAGTTTGTCAATGTTTTGCAGGATGGTGGTTTGTATGACAAGCGGTGTGATGAAGTAGATGACTTGGGAAGCGAGAACCGACTTGACGAGCGCCGCGCGTCCAATGGTGGTGATGTTTTGGCCCTCATATGTTGTCAATCTACTCGCCACTTTATCCACTAAGAATTGAAGATCAGCAAGCTTCAGCCTCCAAATCGACAGCGGTAGCCCCAAATAACGGAGCGGAAAGGCAGCCCTAATAGCCGGCAGCCCAGCCCATGGGTTATGCGGTCCAAGTCGAGGTTGCCACATCTAATGGGCACCATTGAGCTCTTATGGAAGTTAGTGCACATACCGGTGACGTCCCCGAATCCCCTCAGAATGTTCGCCAGGTTGTCCACATCTCTTTTGATGGGCGCAACAAACACAGCCGCATCGTCCGCGTAAAGAGAGGTACGCATGATGACCCCTCTCCCACGAATCTTGTGCAAAAGGCCTTTCCTAGTTGCCGTGTCGAGGATTTGCTTCAAAGGGTCGATGGCAATGACAAAAAGGAGAGGAGAGATGGGGTTCCCCTGCCGAAGCCCTTGGCCATGCTTGATGGGAGAGCCGGCTACCCCATTCAAGAGAACCCTCGAAGATGAGGAACAAAAGAGAGCCGCAATCCACTCCCGAAATTTGCTAGGGAAGCCACGCCTCCGCAGGAGGTCAAGCAAATACTCCCGGAGTCAAAGGCCTTGCGAATATTAATCAGGATCAGATACTGGGAGAAGAAACATTCAGCTTTCATTTCCAATAATAATCAGGAAAAGAAAGTAATCCTTGGGTAGAAAATGATGCTCCAGTTTGTTAACCTCAGTAGAACTCGAAGCGAAAAGAAAAACATGAATCACTACGCAAGTACTGCAAGACATGTCAATAGCTTCCTAAGGTTCACGATGGATAACATGAATCTACGCAAGCACTGGAAGACATGTAGTCATTGCATCGCTTCACACCTCAATAGTTTTGTTCCAGAAGTTCATACGCATCACAGCGTCAGTGCACAGAAGAAGAAAAAGTCTCATCGCTTCCTAAGGTTATACGGATCTAGCACAATGTCAATGGTAACACAACGGACACATGCCTTGTTTAAGGATCAGATACTTAGCTAGAGATCTTTTGCTTCTTGGACTTCTTAGGCATGACAAAGTCATCGTCGTCGTCGTCATCTGTGTCGCTAGATGCCTTCCTCTTCTTTTGTGATGTGGTTTTTCCCTTTGTGGCTGAGTTGGTTTTGACAAAGTCGTCGTCATCTGTGTCGCTAGATGCCCTCTTCTTTTGTGCTGTGGTTTTTCCCTTTGTACCTGAGTTGGTTTTCTTATCGCCTAACAGCAGTACCTTCTTGGTTGGAGAACTTGCCCTTCTCTGTGTAGAAGGCGTTTTGACCGGTGACCTCAGTTTCTGACCCAGTTTCTTCGCAAAGACCTCTGTAGCCACATCCAGCGGTAGCAAACCCCATTCCATCAACCTGTACATCCAAATGGTTACTTGCTTACATCAGAGGAAATATTAGTGTATGCATAAAATGTAAAAACCGGACATGAAAGAATAACAATTTCAACACACAAGCTACAAGTAATTACTATCAGAATGAAATATTATGCTACTGTATGAATCGGTCAGGAGCGACTGATAAGTGGAAATCCAACTAAAAACAAGCAAGGTTTGTTAGTAATTGATGATGAAACAAGGTAACATCTCTGACTCATGGCCCTCATGTATACCCAAGAAAAACGGACCTCGGCTGCAAGCAGAACTTGTTTCATAACAACAATTGAGAGGTACAAGGCAGAAGCATACAACCTAACAAACAACACTCACACCACCAAGCTGTTTTATAGCTCAACAGTAATGTGTGCTATAAATGTTCTTATATGGAACCTGCACCAGGCCACCAACCAGTTTTTGGAAAACACTACTAGGCCAGGATTTTATTATCGTCGTAAGCAAATAACCATTTAGATTCTGTGGCTGACCTTCAATATTTAACACCATAAATCAGTGGAGATTAAAAATTCTGGTGCTTTTAAGTTTTAACTGAACTTGGTTCACCTTTGATATTGCATTAATCTACCAGCAGCTCATCATAATAGCTTCATGTTAGTTCGGCAGTGCAAGACGCAATGATCACTTTATTGTGTTCAGAAATAGTTTAACAATTTCAGATTACTGATGTTCCACAAACACAGAATTGCATTATCAGTCGAGCACAGTGGTACAAGTAACGCTGGCTATATTGTAGTAAGTTCAGTATTTATCAAATTTAGAGAACATGTATACAAATACCAATGTGTTTCGATTTATATCTCGTTTCCCAGCTTCTAAAAGGAACTCTAACCCATCCCAAAAAAATCCTTACCTACCCAAAAATTGCCACCGTTGGGAGTTAGACCCATCTAACTCATCCCCAATACCCCTTCTAACTACCAAGAAATTTTTGGAAGCTCCCAAAAAAAAAGCTTTGGGAGGTTTTGCTCCCTCCCAATACTTTTTTTGGCAGGAGAAATTTTCCTTCCTCAACGGTCACCTCCCGCCACCGTCAAAGTTGCCCCCGGCAACAACTCCGGCCAAGTCACCGGCTCTGGTGAGCCACGCCGCCGCCTATGTACGCCTCCTCCGATCGCCAGCTCTGGTGAGCCACGCGGCCGCCTATCTCCGCCTCCTCCCACCGCCGCCGCCACCACCTCGCGCCACCAAGCCAAAGCTCATGGCCACCACAGCCACCGCGCTGGACCACCCCACCTCCCGAGCTGAGAAGCGGCCTTCAGCGTCGTTGACACAGAGGGAATCAGGGGATAGGGTCATGGCATATTGCCCCCCTCCATCCACCGCGACGGCCATGGCGAGCTTTTGCCTGCCACCCATTAGACAAAATGGCCAAAAGATATTTTCTTTTTCTTGTAATAATGTGGAAATATAGCTGAAATGTAATCTTTTTATGCAAAAGGATGTGTGAATTAGCCAAAAAATGGGAGTCAAGTTTAGGCGATGGCTCAGTTCCCAGTCTCCCAATACCAAGAAATTATTGGGAATTAGGTTTTGGGACTGGGTTTTCGGGAGTCAAGTTTTGGAGATGGGTTAGAGTTGCTTTAAGATCATGAAATTATGAGGTGGAGAATTCTCTAACTTATTCCTAATAAAAAATACATATTCAACTAAAATTCAGGGGGTTCTACTGTGATTTTTGGAAACAAGTTTGTTTAAATACCCTGTACAAACTATCATTATATCTAGTTGGCTAGTCCAAAAAAAAAAAACAGGTATAGTGTTTCATAGATGTGGTGTCTCACCAAAATGCAGCCATTTCACTATTGGGCACCTGCTCATAGAGCGATTCATAAAATATCCTCAATGGATCCCTCTGTAACAAGAAGAAAAACGATTATTGGTCCGTACGAAAGGAATCAGAACATATCAGATAGGGAAATGTCATAATGTTTATACTTCAGGAGGAGGATCATGTTTCTGCCCTGGCAATTCATACAACTTTCTCTCCTTCTTCACCACAATAGCCCCCTCCACCCCAGCAGCCTTCTTTTCATCTTTCTTGATACCAACTTCCTTCTTTATTTTCTTTTCCTCCTTCAATGAATCAAGAAAATAATTTAGAACTATAAACAACACAACATAAATCATGAAAATGGCATATACCTTTGTATCATATTCATCTTTTGGTTTCTTAATCTTGGAAATCTTGGGTTTGCCCGCAGCTGGACTTCTCTTCTGAGATTTTGGCTGAAAAGTCCACAACTACTAATCTCAACAACAGAATCGACAAAATAAATCTGGAACAAGAGAAGAAGAACTGTGACCTTGCATTCATCATCAGAACCGGTTTCTTCTTTCTTTACTTTAGAAGCCTTCACCTTGCTATTGGAAATGCTTTTCTCCTTCTCATTTCCCTAAAAGACACAGCAATGTTATCTTTATACAAGGAAAGAAAGACTGGGAGAAACCAGTAAACTAAATCCAATACATCTCAGCTGAAGGTAATTTTGTAACAGAGAAAATTAAATAAAATGGATATGCTACGAATCGCTGTGGGCAGCTTGAAAACCCTCCAATTTTTCTCTAACTGAAAATGTCATCCGGCGACATGTCCAGCTCTAAGAAAATATTGGCAAATGAGTTTACGAATCCTTAGTAATCGCAAAACACTCGTAAGAAATCCTCGTGTGTCAATAAAAATTACAGTTTTGCTAAAGCACATCTAGATGTGCCATAAGTATTGCATATCTATGTCCTATGTCATTGATCTTACGCGGAGATTTGTGTGGGTAATTTCTTTTTTCTTTTTCTTTTTCTTTTTATGCTTACATTGAGTCACTTAGATGTGCAAGAACTAGGGCACATCTAACCTAGACAGACCTATAGAAATAATTGAACCGATCTATAAAATCGACATGCTGCTCACACAAATTGGCACCGAAAATATCCCTAAAGATCCGAATCGAACCTTCTTTCCCCGCGAAACCGGAGTGTACTCATCTGCAAAATCCTCGTCGTCGTCGTCTTCCTCCTCCTCCTCGTACTCCTCCTCTTCCTCCTCGTACTCCTCCTTTTTCCCCTTCTTTGCACCCCCATTGCTCGCTTTTTTGGCCCGAGAACGCGCAAGCGGAATGTTATCATCGTCGTCCTCCTCCTTCTTGACCTTGGAGGCACTCGCCGTGCTCGCTTTCTTCTTGCCTCGAGAGAACGCCAGCGGAACGTCGTCTTCATCGTCTTCGTCGTACTTCTCCTTCTTGGGCGGATTCTGCAGCGCCGCAGTGCCTGCGGAAACGGCGGCGTCTTCTCCGGCCATTGCTGCGGTAGTGGTGAGGCGAGGGTTTCGGCTTTTCGCGGTCGGTTTTGGGGGGTAATGGGGGAGAGACCCGAGGGCCCGAGCTGGTGGACAAGGAGGAATAACGACAGAGGATTTAGACAGAGGGATGAAGGATGCCCTCACCAGCGCCGGCGGTCGGACGGCGGCGCTGGGGCGCTTGCGCCTATCGGCTGATGGGGAAGAGGGAGAGGCGGCGGCGCTCCCTGTGGTGCCTTCTGTGGTCCGGACGAAGGAAGGGAAAGAGCGGAAGGGGTTCAATCCCGGATGACCAAAGGCCGGTATTAAGCTGGGCTGCCGAGAAACAGTCTGATTCCCCCCGGGCCGCCACTATGATTCAAGTTGGGCCACGCAGGCTTCGTTGGACTGGGAAGGCAAATCCCCGCGGCGCTGTTAGCCCGGCTCAGTGCGGCTGGGCCGTTTTTCTTCCGTCCTTTTCTTCTTCTGGTTTTTTCTGCGTATTTCGTTTTTCGTTTTTTCTTCTGAGTTTTCTGATGGTTTCTTTCTTTCTGTCTTTATCTTATTCCTATACATATTTTTTATACATATATAAGTTTTCTTATAATGCATGTTGAATATTTTTTCAAATATGCGATGACCATTTTCAATATATGATGAATATTTTTATGCGCGATTAACATGTTTTAAATATACGAGCATGCACATTTCCCATTTTATGTAATATAGTGTATTTATAAACTGTTTAAACTAAACAAAAACAGTTCTTTGTTATCTATCTAAATATGTGAAATATGTTTTCAAAAATAAACAAACCACATAAGCACATGTGTTCCCTCCATCATTCCACGCTTAATTAAAGCGTGGAATAGGAGGTCGCGAGAAGAATGAGGGGAATAGCTCGGTTGTGGTTAGGCTTCTTCGCATCTCATGGGCCATGGTATGGTAGGCTGGTTTTTTCATAAAGTTTTTTTTCTTCGTTTCATCCGGGTTTCTTTTGCACTTATGGTTCTGCATTCATTTATGGGAGCCACTAGTTGGCTGGTGCCCCTGCAGGGGCTTGCAAAGGAGCACCCGTTCTTGTCGCTTGGTGCTCGCAAGCGAGCCAAGCGGAGCAGATGTATGGCGTGACAGTGTGTATTATAATTTGTGTTTTTTGTTTTTCTTTTCTATTGAGTTTTTTTCATTTGTTTTTCTTTTCTATTGAGTTTGTGTTTTTTGAAGTGCAGTGCATTGCATGATGTGTGCATAGGTACTATGTGATGACGTGTGTTTCACGTGGCAGCACATGTGTGCTTTGCCACCCACGAAGCACATATGTGCTCTATGGTGAAGCACATGTTGTGCTACCCGGGGAACACAACTTACGCTACACGTGAATATACTACATTATGAGAGAGCACAAGTATGTTACCACCGTGAAGTTCACGTTGTTATTTTGTGAAGTACAAGTTAGCTATCAGTGGGAGTAGAAATTGCATTCGAAAAATGTTTGTCAATATCTATCAATGATGGATCTTATTTTAAAGATGTCAACGTGAGAAATACAACAATAAAAATGATTCGTAATTTGAACGCTTCGTTTAAGAGATATTTCATTGTAAAAATCAGGCATATAAAATCCACGTGCAATCAACCATCTCATCTCCTCTTGTTGGAAAAACCAATCAAAATACTCTAATGGCTACAAACAACGCACATGTGTTGCACTGCTTGTCTCCATCAGAGGCCTTTGGGTAAACTTAACAAGGTGTTAGAATAAATCTGAGACACTTCGTCGATCATCCGAAGACCAAGCAATCACACGAGCATGATACCGGATTTGTTAACGAGGTTTACCGATATGGCTACATCACCGGGACCTAACTATGGGCGCTCATCCCCGTGACACCGCTACAATACCGCATCCAGTCGCCTTGGGCGCCGACACATGCAGTCGGCTTCCCCTGCGTTCCAGTGCTATTATGTTGGCATAGGTTACATCGTGTGTCTACCCCCGCTATATGTGAGAGGCCTAGGATACAAGTGTCCTACTTGGACACGACTCCATATCCTATCTAAACACAATACTAATACAAGTCCAACTATAACCTACATAGTACACAATATTCGACACAACTCTAACAAACTCCACCATGGCGAATATTCTTCATCATCTTGGATTCGTCCATGCGTCAAACTTTCATGTACATTGAACTTGAGTTTATCCCATGAGTACCGCCGCTACTCCAAAGACTCCATATGACTCCACTTGCAACTTGTAGTCCCTTCTTTTCTTGACCACAGTCAACACTGGAGCAAAATTAAGTTCCTTGTCACTCTAGTTTGTGCTCCCAACTTTTAGAGTATCAGTCCAACGCCATCACACACTGATTGCCGACCTGTGTGAAAGTGAACAACTCACATATTGGGTGTCACGTAAGAGTTACCTGAACTCAACATCGCCGCTCCATTCTTGACCGTTTTGTCTGAAACTTGAAAGAATTTCACTGTTGGTTGTAGTTATTCCGAGCCAAATTCGCAGTTGTCTCACCACATGTATGACCACCAGAGCCTTGGTCCGTCTTCATGTCCCGTGCATACCGCATGCCTCACCGCTATTACTGCGTCGAGCCTACGCTGTCCCCGCCGAGTCTCAAGGGTCACAAAACCACACCACTCAACCCCCACGGTAGAGTACCATCGATCATCACCAATCGATGACTGATACGTCTCCAACTTATCTATAATTTTGTATTGTTCCATGCTATTATAGTATCCATATTGGATGTTTAATATGCATTTATATGATTTTTATATGATTTTTGGGACTAACCTATTAACCTATAGGCAGTGCCAGTTCCTGTTTTTTCCTTGATTTTGAGTTTCACATAAAAGGAATACCAAACAGAGTCCAAATGACCTGAAACTTTACGGTGATTATTTATGGAACAGAAGAAGCCCATGGAGCATCGGAGACGGACCAGAACAGACCCGAGGCCACCACAAGGGTGGAGCCCCCCCCCCCCCTAGGGTGCGCTCCCCTATCTTGTGGTTGCCTCGTCGACCCCCCTGACTTGCCCCTAATGCCAACACCTCTTATATATCCCCAAACCTCCAGAACAGAATCTAGATCAGGAGTTCCGCCGCTGCAAGCCTCCGTAGCCACCCAAAACTAGTTGGGACCCTGTTCCAGCACACTTCCGGAGGGGGGAACCATCACCGATGACCATCTTCATCATCCCGACTCTCTCCATGACGAGGAGGGAGTAGTTCACCCTCGGGGCTGAGGGTATGTACCAGTAGCTATGTGTTTGATCTATCTCTGTCTCTCTCATGTTCTTGACTTGGCACTATCTTGATGTACCGCGAGCTTTGCTATTATAGTTGGATCTTATGATGTTTCTCCCCCTCTACCTTCTTGTTATGGATTGAGTTTTCCCTTTGAAGTTATCTTATCGGATTGAGTCTTTAAGGATTTGAGAACACTTAATGTATGTCTTGCATGTGCTTATCTGTGGTGACAATGGGATATTCACGTGATCCACTTGATGTATGTTTTGGTGATCAACTTGCGGGTTCTGTGACCTTGTGAACTTATGCATAGGGGTTGGCACACGTTTTCGTCTTGACTCTCCGGTAGAAACTTTGGGGTACTCTTTGAAGTTCTTTGTGTTGGTTTGAATAGATGAATCTGAGATTGTGTGATGCATATCATATAATCAAACCCGCGGATACTTGTGGTGACATTGGAGTATCTAGGTGACATTAGGGTTTTGGTTGATGTATGTCTTAAGGTGTTATTTTAGTATGAACTCTAGGGTTGTTTGTGACACTTATAGGAATATCCCAATAGATCGATCAGAAAGAATAACTTTGAGGTGGTTTCGTACCCTACAATAATCTCTTCGTTTGTTCTCCGCTATTAGTGACTTTGGAGTGACTCTTTGTTGCATGTTGAGGAATTGTTATATGATCTAATTATGTTATCATTGTTGAGAGAACTTGCACTAGTGAAAATATGAATCCTAGGCCTTGTTTCGAAGTATTGCAATACCATTTTCACTCACTTTTGTTACTTGCTACCTTGCTGTTTTTATATTTTCAGATTACAAAAACCTATATCTACCATCCATATTACAATTGTATCACCATCTCTTCGCCAAACTAGTGCACCTATACAATTTGGCATTGTATTGGGTGTGTTGGGGACACAAGAGACTCTTTGTTATTTGGTTGCAGGGTTGTTTGAGAGAGACCATCTTCATCCTACGCCTCCTATGGATTGATAAACCTTAGGTCATCCACATGAGGGAAGTTTGCTATCGTCCTACAAAACTATGCGCTTGTAGGCCCAACACGAGTCTACAAGAAGAAGGTTGCGTAGTAGACATCAATGACGAGTTTCACGTTTCCATCAGACCACTAGGCTCCAGTCCGAATTGCGTGCCTCTCACTTTTTTCCCACTAAAATATGCTTCAATTCTCTGGATCCTTACACCGAAGCCCCTCAATCCAGCTCCACCTTCAAACATGACTCCATCGTATATGATCAGTCCACCCTCACGCCACATCGACTTCAAGCTCTCATGTGCGCACCGTCTTGAATCAACCCCGCGTCATAGTCTTGTCAAAGCCACACAAGCCTTTAGGCATGCGCCATGTGTTTCCACGCCCTAGAAGTCGGTCACCATCAGCATCACGCTCCTATGTCGCTGTCACCAATCCCACCACCGTCTTCTATTCCAACCGACTTACGTCGACCCGTCAGACTATGTAGTCCAACCCAGCCGAACTTGTCCGGCTGTATGACACGCTCGAGGCTCCCAAATCATCTTTCATGAATTTCCATCCATCACATGATAATTCCATCACCACTGACATGACTTCCCGCAACGCCTTGAAGCTTCCCTGTTGTGCCAATAAATCGTTCACCCATATATGCCATAAGCCAAGGTTTTTAGTTCCGTTGAACTTCTCCACCTCAAACCAGGTATCCGTTGGCGCCATGGTTCTTCGTACGGTTGACCTTGTGAAAAACACAT